GTTTCTTTTGTAGTTTTATCAAGCTGTCGTGATTTGTTCCTACTGTTCCCAGCGTTGTAGGCGCTTGCCGCGGATCCTTCGCGGTTTCCAGAATAAATAAATAAATAAATACATATTCCATGTAAAGGTGAAGTAATGTGTTGGGGAACTTGGAGGATTAGCGAGAATCAAATTCGGTGACGAAATTCGTCGATTGTCCATGAGGAGTGTCTTGGCCCGTCTTTTTCAGATGTGATCGGCGTTTCATTTCAAATTTAGGCTCTCGTTTCCTGAGGAAGTGCTTGCACATTTTTTGATCAAGAAACTATTTTTAGGAAATGGAAAAAGAAATGAAAGAAAAAAAAACTAGGCTCTTCTTTTATTTTTTTTTTTATTTTTTTATTTTTCTTTTAGACTTTTTATGTCACGGGGAGCGATTCCGATTTGTTCGTGGTGAATGAGACTCTTTCAAGTCAAGACGTTCGTAACTTGGTGGTTAGTTCTGAGAAGACAAAGAAGATGAGCTCTTGTTATTCACACATACGTGACAAAAAGCAAGCCTTTAAACTGGAAACTATCACGGCTATATTTACTGCAAATACATTTCTCCTTTATTTATTTATTATTGTTATTTATTATATACGCCATATAAGACATCGAGAAAAAAATGTAATAACCATAACAAGAACTAACAAAACAGATTACAACATACTAACACTTTCAAGAATAGATAAGTGACAACTATGCTTGTAGAATACTTTTACCTACTGCCCGTTTGAAGGAGCCCAGAGAACCGTGGATGGTAGTAGCCTTGCTGGCTTGCAAGTATGCAAGGCCAGCCCTTATCGTGAAAAAGTTACGTCTAGTGCTTGTTTTTGGCTAGAAAACGAAATTTAAGCTGACCACCCCTAGTTATGGAAGGAATTAAACTGTAGAAATCCGAAAAATTAACCGCGGATTTGCCTGTCAACAATTTGTGTAACATGCACAGGTCAAAAGCTTGCGCCTAGACTGGAGAGAGGGAAGATCAAGATATTGTTCCTAAAACTGCCCTTGGGGAATTCTGGAATACAAAAAACCTCAAGCTGACGGAATTATTTCCCTGTAAAATGTGTTTTGGAAATACATTTCTAATACCATAGAGTTCTTTTTCTTGCTCGAGCAAAAGATGATCCGTTGGGCTGTAGTAAGTCATCAGCCTGAGCATTTCTATTATAGAGAGCGCTAGATATGGCTCCAAACATTACTTATCGCTTCAATCTTGAAATCTGATGAACGAATCAAAATTGTGCCGTTGCCCTTTCAACAAGTGAAACATCGAATGCTCTAGAATCTGTTGCTTCGGAACCTTCCTCAATTTTCCTGACCTTCGTTTGCTTTGGGTGTGGCAGATCTATTTTTGAAAAAAAATTACTTCGTAACACCCTTATTCTTCCCACACTTCAACCGCTCTCTCGCCATCAACTTCGTACAGACTCAGCAGCTGCGTGCCGACTTTTGTGTCATTTCGATATGATCATTCGTAGTGTACCTGCACGCTGCAATCTTTTTCTTAGAAATTCTCTGCAAAAAAGGCTATCGTGAACTCCTTGTGATTTGACCACCATCGCCTATTTTCTCCTTTTTCGCACCTTATCTGTCGCGTGCCACGCATTTACCTGGCCGTTAGAATCTTTGAATAATATGATAGCGTCCAATAGGGAGCGGCATGCGATAGCCTGAAGGTGCCGGAGAGGAGTTAAATACTCATCCGGTTATGGCGGTCTAACCTCCCCCTTACAGTTAAGAGGTAGTGCTCAGACCGCCTTTGGATGCCCTCCCACCGATGACTTCGATAGCTCCTCTACGCCCTTCGCTCATTACAACTGCTTCCTTTGAGGCTTTCGATTGGCTCAGTGAGACAGTTTGGATGTTGATATTTTGTTTACGTGGACAAAGTGGCTATTATTAAGCCAATCTGGCTTGAGGGCTTTGAAAGCTCGGACGGAATTTATTTTACACAATATGCAGGTAATGGTGGAGCATACGTAGCCGCAGTGCTTCTCGTCATTCTCTTATACATCTCTGTATATCGTCTCCAGAAGCAACGCCTAAAAATGCTGTGCTAAATGGAACCAATATCTCGGCTTCTGAGTCCATGGTCATGGGGTCGGATAGTGTACTTCCGAGTAAACGAAATTCTTAAGCTACGTCTATGGTAGACTGTTTGTTTCTCGCTTCAACTCCCAGACACGAACTTTGGTCAGACTTCACGATGGCATCAGCAGCTCCATTCCTACGAAATCACCTACCGTGTTGTTCGTGCCTGTTGCTGCCAGCCTGAGGCGTTCTTTCAATCGGTCGCAACAGCTCGTTTAACGGTGTTCGGCCGTGAAATTACACGATGAACACCCTGTTTTTTGACGAACTGCACGTTTCGCGGTCAATAACTCTAATGTGCTATAGCCCTGTGAAGCGGTTGAATCAATTGCGACACTGTAGTGAATTTTTGACTAGGCCTAGGTAGCTGCTGGTACCGTGGGCTGGGTAAGCCTCACCGTTACCCTAGACATCTTCAAAGCAGAGATATTAAAACCCACAGAAATACCCTCACCGGCGATGCCTCTCCGAGTCCATATTTGCAAATATCGACTATCCGAGAAACAAGAAACAGTCAAGTGCCTCTTGTTGTATAGTATTTATTTATTCTAGTAAGATGAATTAAAGTCCCTCGGTGGTGGTGTGGTAACGAGTGGCGCCGCTTATCACGCACACGGCCCGCTACTCAAATCTTGGATCGAATCCTGTCCAAAACAAACAAGCCATTCATCTCTCCGGGTTTTTCATTTGGCGCTAAACCCAACTGACAAGAACTGGCTTGTACATTAGCTGTTCTGTGTCCTTTTTGGAATACGCCATGCTCTCTGTTCTCATTCAGAATCGTTCGCGATTTGGTCTACTCCATTGTGTAGACCAAATCGTGAATAACTTCGTATGGCATACTCCAAAAAGGGATTGACCAACAACCAGATGCAAGCGAATTTTAATGCTCTTAGCGCATAGCAGGATTTAGATGATTTTTAGCCCGCCTTCCCCGCCCTTCCCTCACCCCTTCAAAGGCAGCTGGAATTTCGTTTGTGATGAAGTAGTTTCCAACTAAGAAAATTTCGACCTTTTACTGTTCCGACTGGCGTTGTTGGCCATTGGTAATTAGTTCTACATAAGGTTAGTTATATAGTTTTGTTTTCCGGCGTTGATACTCGTCGCGAGGAAAATGCGCAAGCCTTCCGGCGGAAAAAAAAAAATGACGTCCTCAATCAGTATGTTGAAATATGTAGTCAAGATACAAGAGAAAAGTCCCACTGTGCCGTTTGAAAATTGAACTATAGAGAAAAATCCGCTTTTTTTTTGCAAACACAGGGTATACTATTTGGGTTCAGCATGAACCGCATCAGTTCTTAATGACTTCTTCTGTCGACATACAATTGTCCGGATTTGGTCGCCGTAGCACTTTTTCTGCTTAGGGAGGCTCTCTTTTTCATCGGATGATTCGAAATGCGACCTTCAACAACTTTGCACCACTCTTAAAAGATGGTCGAATGGTGCAAAAGATAGGCTGGAATCAGCGAAATGTCGACTCTGTCCAAATGCGCAAATTTCCCCATGTCTCCTGTTATCCGTGTCTCGAAGGAACGCAACTCTTTCTTCAATCCCTACAACATGATGGAAAAATATTCATTTGCCTTTCGCTGGAGAGTTCCCAGTTTTGAATTTCTAAGTTCTTCTGTTCACCAGTCATCATTATCCCTTCCCGGAAGTTCTTGATCTCCGAATTCGCTGAATAGGGACCTACCCTTATTGTAATGGCGATGGTGCCTCGATATGGGTCCTCACGGAGATCAACGTTGTACATTCATGGTTTCCAAACGGGAAACAATTTAGAATTGGGAGCTTCGCTACGGGATTCGGGGAAAGGGTGCTCACTGGATGAGTCATTCAGGGATCCGATTTGATTTTATAGGTCCACCTATCATCAAATGCTGAGCATTTATGTTACTTCATTGTTATACGATAATTGGCGCAAAGGCGGTTATAGCCAGTGTCCGAAGGCGGGGAGCGCATTTCGAGCACCTTTTCTGGTTGTACAGCGATATGTTTTGCTCATGACTTTTTCTTTTTTGTGACGGGCTTGTTGAAATAGTTTTCTGTTTGAAAGAGTTTGGAAGAGCAGCAAATTGTGCCACGCGATGCCTACTTCGAGCTAGGATCAGATCTCCAGACCCGCAGATGTATGTTTTCAGGTTTCTAGTCGGCTAAATATCTGTCCACGAGGCTATAACACTGAGTTGAATATTAACCGAGTCTCAAAAGTGGTAGTGTGGCAGCGATTCGCATTCAAATGCCTCAACGATGTACAGTAATGTTGAGTGCATTGCGAAATCTATGCAAGTTCGGGTTGTGGATCGATGAGCGAAGAAAGTTCTGTTAGTTCTGTTGATTTTGCGACTGCCTCCTTTACTCAATTTCTGCATGAAGTTCAAACCCTTAGGAAAACAGTACTGCGTTTAGTTCTGTGTCTGATTTGCCGAAGGTCAAGTCCAGAGTTCATCAACACTGAGCTTCGGGCTCAGAACATTGCTCTGTAGACAACTGCGCGATGTGTGCAGCAACGGCCTGTGGGATAATTGGCCTCTTGGCGCAGCAGTTGTAAGCAATTTGAACATCTTGCAAATGTAAGCATTGTTTTTCAGGAAAGAATACTTCAGTCCAATAACCAGTTTCTTACATTTTTCGGTGCTCCATAAAGTGTCTCAGAGATTTTGATGGTTGCCTAAGATCACGTCTTGATAATGGATCACTTCTCATCACCCGTAATTCGAAACAAATGGCATTTGAAAAGCGTTTTGAACAAATACTTTTCCTCTTTTCTTTACCGGTTGCCCGAATAGCACTTTCTGCTCGTGTTTGAACCCTTAACCCTGCTATTTCATCGAAGTCGACTTGCTACGGATTCTAAGATACCTGCTATGTTGTTTTCATTCATGGATGGATTGATCGCAACGTATCGCCACCAAAATTGAGGCCTCGCTCCTTCTTGCCACGCAAGTCTTGCGAATTATGTACGTAAGCGCATTAAGCTAAGGTGATTAAAGGCAGAATTACGATGAAAAGTTAGCTCATTGGAAATAAGGGTAGAGGTGGTCAGTGGAGCAGGGATGAAGAAGAAACCATTTGAAACGGCCCGAAACCCGAGAAATGGGACCCCTTCCTTGCCCGTTGATTTGCGCATTGATGCGACTCTCATCGCTGTGCCCTCTTCAACACTACGCTCTCTCTGCTATCTAATCACTCGCCACGTATAGACCTGCGGCGAGTGATTAGATAGTCGGTGGGCGTACCCCGCCAACCGCGCCAAGAGTGAGCCATGCTAGATCGCCGAGGTCAAATCTTTCGCTGCCAATTGCGCGTCGGTCAGCACCCTCAGGAGGTCCGCCTGTCTCCCAACTATGCAATTTTCCCCTTCTTTGACCTTCGTTCTTATCGTGAATTCCTCCTTTAACTTTTCTCAAAACCTCAAATCTAACCCAAGAAAAGGAAGAGAAGAAAAGAAAAGAAAAGAGAGGAGAGTAAGAATAGTGAAGAATAGAAAACTGCTGATCAGCAAGCAGCTCTTTAAAGTTTGTTTTTGGCAGAGTGGACGGATCAAAGATCAGTATCATAGCATATTACGCTAAAACCCCTGATCAGCTTCTCGAGAAGCTCATTTACTTTATCCGAACGACGACATTCCAACATAAAGTGTGGTATTAGGGGATTCCTTCTTTCTTCTAGACTTCATAGACAGATATTCAACAGACATTTATTGGTGTCTGGCTAGCTAGTCTCAAACAGGAATACCGAAGAGCAGTCTTGCACGGGAAACGCTGGGTCCGGAGGGGGGACGGGGCAGCCGATCTTGAAGTCGTCGATCCTCTCAATAAAATAAACTGTGTTTTGCGCCGCTCCGCGCGCCTCCTTCGCCCCGCGCGCGCTCCACGCCTCCTTCGCCATCGCCCTGTAATCAGTAGAATTCATCTCTGCAAGCTTGCTCCAACTTAGTGACTCAGCTTGTAACTGTACCAAGTATCGATTAATCCCTGTTCCTCACATTTCCCAAGACCTTACAAATAATTTGTCGCTCAGTTCAAAACAGCAAATAATAGTAGTAGTAAGTAAATGCTTGAAAAAGGAAACATGAAGGCCATAAAATTTCAGAGCACTTTCAACAGACCGAAACATTAAAAAATGGACTATGTTCTCTAGTTCCAAATTCAGATGCAATGATACAACCGGAAGGAAAAAGCGAAATCAGCTAAAAAACGAGTCCTGCTCGAAAGAAAACTGGCCAATCACTTTTCTTCAACCACTTGTTTCATACATGTTAGAAATACGCTCCCAAGAGGTACCCGCTGGGATGAAATTGAAGATAATCTTCTCTTCATCAATTCTACCTGCCTGAACTTTCACGTTTTCGTCGTACGCCTAGTAAAGTATCTTTTTGACGGAACTTGGCATTTATGGAAGTCTTTTCAGCTTGATGGACAGAGAAAGTCGACGTTCGAAAGAAGAAGAGGAAGAGCTGGACCGTAAGATCGCTCAAATACGGGAAAAGAACCAGAAGATTGAGGAAAGGCAGAAGGTTTGCAGGCCTTTAATACCTTCATTTCCACGAATTAATCGCAATAGGATGCGCCGCGCCTATACCTATTGCATTGAATAGGGACGAGTGTTGTGATTTTCACGGAGTCAGTTTCCTTCTTTTGAGCATAGCTATACGCTGTCAGGTTTCCAGGGAAAACCATCGTGTATATGTTTAGAGGCATAGGGAAAAGAAAAGGTCACTGGGCAGGGCGGTAGCGATTGTCAGGTTTTCAATCAACTTGATTCGTGATCAAAGGGGCAGCCCGGCATTCATGACAAGTAGCAGCAGAACTGGGCTCAGCGGAAAAGTCGCGGATTGATAAGCTGAATAATCCGCCTTGCATGATTCTGCAGGGAAAACGAATACATGGCCCATCGAAATAAAACTCCATGAGGGCTCGAGTTGGCCCATCGCCTCGGTTTCGACTTGTGTTTGTGCACCTTGCCTGCCCGGCTGCACTTTGTATCGGTGGTCGTCATCGTGTTCATTGCCGTAAAAAAACTGACCGATGACACGACTGCAGTGATTGACGAGCGTGCTGTAACCAATCTTTTTAGTGGAGTTTGAAGCTCCTGAAAATATTTTCGAGGGGTCAGCTGACCTTTTAATTTGAATTTCCTTTGTTTTAAATGCAATTTTTCCTGTGAATTTTCAAAATATTTCCAGGAAATCGACGCCGATAGAGCGAGCCATGCTGATGGGCTGCAGCGCAAAACCTCAAAGGTCTGCCACCGACTTGTTCTTTATTTTGGTTTTATTAAATAGATTACAGTGACCTTACTATAATATTATGTCGAGGTCGTTCAAGTCTTGCCGTCTTGTCACAGTCTTATTTTAAGTCCGCCTAAGTTCCTAATATTATCCCCTGTCCTTGTTTTGATTGTTAACGGCTCTTTTAGGCCGCAGTTCAGTTGAAGTTACAAGGGAGGTGGGTCGGGACGTAAATTTCAAGCTTGTCATTAGGTCCAAATAAATGTTTTTAATATGTCCTTCGCATGAGCGGAAGTGGTGTAATGGCAAGTGGCACGCTTACCACGCGAGCGGTTTGGGGATCATATCCTGGGTCGTGAGTCGCCCGAATATGATCCCAAACCAACCACCAACCAAGCCTTCCATCCCTCCGGGGTCGGTTAATTGGTGTCAGACTTGTCTGGGAGGATAAAAAAGGTGCGGGATCGGGGGGCCAACCCATTGGGGCTGTGGGAAAAAAGCCCCCTTTTTCGTGTTGGGGAAAACATCTCAAGACCCTCCCAATTACTTGGGCATCGGCTGGCCCCCGCAAGTCATTGTATAGGCCACATCGCATTCAAACGCCACTACGAATGTACAAATGGAAGTAGAATGCGTGCCGCATCCCAAAAAGGGATTGATCAACGGCAAATGCTTTATCCTTTATCCTTTTATTCTTATTCTTTCATTATGTAGCATCGGGACGCGCATAAAGTAACATTATGTAGCATCATGGGCTGTATGAGGTACACAGTGTTTCTCTAGGTCAGCCCTGTCGTAGATAATTATTTGTATTTGAACGCGGATTTTGCGATGGAAAGGTAGCTTATTGGAAATAAGGGTAGAGGTGGTCAGTGGAGTAGGGATGAAGAAGAAACCATTGAAACCGAGAAATGGGACCCCTTCCTTGCCCGTTGATTTCCGCATTGATGCGACTCTCATCGTGCCCTCTTCAACGCTAACGCTCTCTCTGCTATGTCGGTGGGCGTTCCGGCCAACTGCGCCAAAGGGAAGGCCATGCCAGATCGCCGGGGCATATCCTTCGATGCGAATTGCGTGTTGGTCCGCACCCTTAGGGGTCCGCCTGTCTCTCCACTAGGTAAGTTTCCCTTCTTCGACCTTCGTTCTTATCGTGGAATCCTCCTTTAAAAAGACAGGGGTAAAACATTGAAGTGACCTCTGTTTTCGAGGGGTTTTCGTTGGTTTATTTTCCTTTTTTCCTTGGAATCGTAGTCGCACTTTAGTGCCTTGTGCAAGTCATGCGAGAGTAGCAAATGTACAAAACAGGGCTCTTTCTTTTTAATTTGAAGAGAGGTGTTACTATTACCGAGGGAGGTATGGATGGTTTAGTTGGTTTGAATGAAATTCGATCCGGATACTGAGCGCAGGACTAAGCGTCTGAGAAAAGGCGCGAATTTCCACTACACCACCTCCTCCTAAATTTAGGATCAGCTTTAATTAATTGTCTAATTGGCTTCTTTTTTCATTGGGACCAAACATTACATACGACAGTATCAAAAGCGTCAAAAATACCAGTTTCATCAAGGCAACTGCCATGTGTGACATTAGGTCAGCAAGTAGGATAGGCCATGATGGGCGACAGAATGTATGTCGACCGGCACGGCACCGGAAGAAAGATTAAAAAGCACGAACTTGACTGCCATTGAAAATCATTTCAGCCTTCGCCTCCAAGCAGCGGCACCAACAAAACCCCGAAAGGCGAATGGGATCGTGAGTGGGATCATCGTAATAACTTCGTATAGCATACATTATACGAAGTTATACGACGGGAAATAATTAGAGGAAACTTTCAAATTTCACCCCAATTACCTTAAGGCTTTCCTTAATGAAATATTTTATTTTATTTATTTTAGAGCAGAATACATGGCGTGAAAAATGATGCCGTCTAGGAGAAACGGCGTAAAAACCATCTGGTCGTGTGCTCACCAGAATGGGCTTCTAGACCAGCGTGGGCATCGAGTCGCGCGTAATAGATCGGGGTGGGACGCTCCGAAGAGCGCCATCCCAGGTAAGCGGGTTTGGGATCAGGGTCAACCGTGACGTTCGCATTTGTTCAGAAATTTCGCGACTCCCTCCTTTAGAGGGGGTCTTGCTGCGACCCCCTCACCACATGACACTCAGGATGCCCCTCAATACGACAATCCTTCTCCCTACCCCTACACCACCCTCGCCATTCACCCAACCAATTACCAATTACCATTCCCACTCAAACCCTGAATGCGACCCCCCCCCCTTCCCAAAATCAACCACAAATGCGACCCCCTCGTTCAAATAGTGCGAACAGACGGTTGACCCTGTTTAGGATGGTGTACTTTAGACAAATATTTCCATTGGCTTTATTTTGTTTTACTTATTTCTTTTTTTTTTGAAAATCCGAGCAAAATTCAGTGTGTCAGCTTTTCTCAACTCTGAAGTATGCATGCGAGTAAAAAAATAGCGTCAAAAAATTTTGCCCGGAAGTTGAGTGGCTAGCACGTCCTCCTTTTATATTGCAGGCTTCCATTTAGTAGAAGACCGAATTCAAGAACGTTACGGAGCTTATTCCCCAATATATATGGCTAGCTTTCCCTTTCTGTGTTGAAAAGAAAAAAGCTTCATTCTTGAGTCCCGGGACTGGATGGTAGTGATATGGAGATCATCTTATCGCCTTGTGTAGAAGGAACTATATAACTAGCGATTCGAATCGATTGGCTAAGGAATAGAGGATGAACATAAATTTCTCGAGCGAAGCGTTTTTCAACCGGCACGGGATGGTTAACCACTGACTGTGGTATGGGTTTCACACGTTTCCGATCCCAGCGAGAGATTTTGATCAAGAGGCAACATGAGGGCTCCTTTCAACCGTCATACTCCCCAAAATAAAAGGCTTGTGTGAAATTAGGAATTCGCTGGAGTGCCGATGTGAAATACAGTGAACGCGATAGTGTGGGTCCAGGTCCAGCTAAGTATATGCACCAGTGGATGTGCTGGGGTTATCCGAAAATGAGTGACCCGTCGCCGCGGAAGAAGGCATAGGTTCAGCGTATTCGAGTGCAGCGCATGCTGTGCGATGTAGCCATGTGATGATACATTCTATTTAAGTTGACGCGAAACCACTATGGCCGATGCCGGACATAGCGAATCGCGCGATTTCGGCTACCAGCGATTCGCGCGCTTCGCTAGCGTCCGCGGCTGTGTTGCGGTACTAGCCAATTGAGTGCTTCACTGCCCGCGACGCGGCCGCAAGACGCTAGCGAATCGAGTGGTTCGCAGTCTGGCATCGACCTATAGTACGCGCCGCGACACTTCCGCTAAGTTTGCCTTCTTGCCGCGCGAAAAGCCTCCTGTCGGATACCGGAAGTGCTAGCCAGGTGGCAAAGAGATCAAGAAGCGGAGTTTTGCATGGAATAGTGCGCTTTTGGAAGGGAGTTAGCGTTTTTTAAAATTCTAAATTTTGCGCCCGGCATCCGAAACTGCACATTCAGTGTGGTTATGTATGTGTGCGATACCTTACCATTACCGTTCGATTTTCGTTTTGAGAGAAGATTCGTTCAAAAAGTCGTATCATTTGCAAGCTTTTTCGAGATATTTTATTTTTATATGGCGGCAGTTTTACCCATTATAATACGCTTGCAAGCTTTGAACCACCCAGGAATCGACGGAATAAAATGAAGGGATGTGGCATCATACTGGCGCGACCCCATGTCTTCAAGTGGCAGGCGGTGATATATACACTGCGTTTCATAAATATAGGTCCACCCTAAATTTTTGCTATTCCAAAGTTGCTGCGCATTTTTGGGAAATGCCGCTATTACCAATAGTTTCCCCATAACGAAAAACCTTGATACTCGATTTTTGGAGAAATCTCGATTCAGAATTATTGAAATATCTTTTTTAGAACGTATTTTCACCGTTTCGCAAATATGACTACACATCACTTGTCGAAGATTTTATTATAACAAAAAAACGTCAAAAATTTTCAATAATGGGGTGGTCCTCCATTAGTCATAAGAAACACAATAATACGTTTTGGAATGCTGGTAACCAAATTAGCTATTACAATGGGATCGAAATTTGCCTGCGCGCTGATGATCGACGTTTTCAGCTCTTCGGCTGTTCCATTTTGCTTTTCTTTGCTGTGGAACTTTATAACAATTAAGGCCCTATGATTCTCTATTGGAATCTGATTCATAACATGGTGGCCAACCAGATAACTGCCACATTTTTTCCTGCATTCCATCTGGCGTGTAAGGACCGGCATGGACAGCTGCGTTATCGTGCGTAAAAATCAAGGTTCGAGGAGGGCTGTTGTCGAAAAGATGGTAAAAGTCGCTTCAGAAGAACTTCACGATACCCTATGGAATCCTCGTGAAAGGAAACAAATACGAGCTCTAGCCGCTCAGTCGTTCAAAGGTGCCTCAAACCATAAGGAATTCTCCGCCAAAATTACCTTACTTCGAAACCATCTGCGATTTTCACGGAACCCTCCTGTACCCTCATTTTCCATCAGATCCACTTAGAATAAACTTTTTCACGCCGATTCCAGATCACCCGTAGCATGAAACGAGGAGGTGGAGTCCAAGATCACGAAGGGTCTGGCAGCCACACCTTCGTTCATTAAGTTGAGCCCTTTTCCACCTAGAAATGGAGACGTGCGATCTTGTAGCGCTCAAATAATCTTGGAACGCTCTTCATCAATCCGCTGAAGATGTATTGCTCTGCTGGCTTATTCACAACACGGTGGTTTTGCTTACGGAAGGCCGCATTTCAGCACGGACTTTGTTCGGACGCCTTATCCAATTCGACAGAAGACGCCCAATTCCTCTTGATTTTCAATGAAACGCTGTCATTATTTACCAAGGCTACTCTTCTTCCCGCACAGACCGGGATTTCGCACATAGTTGCTTATGCATCATGAGCCGGCCGACATGGGAGGCAGTTCTGCTTCTCAGCCATCAAACTTCAGTAAGTGCTCTGGCTTGAGCTTGTTACTGGGAAGAGAGGCGAGTAACACGAGGTATGGTAAACTCGATGTCGACTAAGCTCACATATATCCCCGCTTCCCTGATTCCCTTCACGGATCATGAGAAATGGAAACTTTTTATGAGTGGCCCGATATTCATGAAACGGTGAAAATTCGTTCTGAAAAAGTTAATTGGGTTACTTGAGGGGGGAACTTTGTCAGAAAAACACTATGAAGGTTTTCCGTGATGAGGAATCTAATGGTGATAGCAGCATTTTCAAAAAATGCACAGCAACTTTGGGGTAGCAAAAATTTAGGGTGGACCTATAATTATGAAACGCAGTGTATATGGTGGGGACACGCGTCGCGACAACACATTTCCGTTCCTCGTGCGTTGGCACATCGGCCAGCAGAAAGCATCGTTCTTGTTTACAATCTTTGAGCTCAGCGGAGATTTTTGAGACCAAATTATCAAATCGATCAAACTACTGAAGTCTAGTAGGTGATCGGACGAGTTGTCCGGCCACCGCAGGATTTGGCAATTGTGGCTTTGCGCTCTAATGCCAATGTTATCGCGCCATATGACCGCCTCCCAAATGAGGGTCTCGCGATGTGGGGTTTTGAAAAGGGTCTGTGCTTTTTTGTCGACGCCGCCGCACCATCTAACTCCCACCATTTACAAACACCCAGAATTATCGCAAATTTTGTCAGTACTTGTACATTTATTGCCAAGAAGCAGTCTTCATTGCAGGCGAACAAAGGCAGTCGATTGGAGGGAAGGGTAACTGTGCCACCAGAACAGAACTCTGCGGGCAATCGACGAGGTCGAGGCCGAGGTGGTGGTCGCAACCCGGCCCGCCATGTTACCAAAACTGATGGGGAGCTGAAAATCAGCGTCAAAATAGGAGATGTAAGTCGGAAATTGAGCTATTAGCACTAACCCGTATAACTTCGTATAATGTATGCTATACGAAGTTAATTGGTGGAGCACAGGATATACTGTTAGACTATTTCCTTTAACTGCTCACTCTTGGCAGGAATGAGCCGGTTTTTATCGAATTTGTCCTATGATCTGTGTCATTCGGCGTAGATACTTTGCCTTCAAGGGGTAGAATTGAACCCGTTAGAACTCCGAGATCGCATTCGTTTCACCAGAACGCCTTGGGCGCTCGCGCCAGAAGCGCCGGCGCCAAAAGGGGCGCCAGAACATCTCGGATCCCCAAATTCGCTGGAAAGTTGTCCTCAGAGGTATTTTGACCCGTAGAACATGAATATCACATTAGTTCGTTGCGAGTGAGCCTGTAGCCTGCGCTACGGGCGCCCGCGCAAAACTGTTGTGATAGCGCCGGCGCCTGTGGCGCGCCAAGCGTTGTCGCGCTAAACCGGTGTGATATTCGTGTTCTACGGGTCGAAATACCCCGGAAATCTAGCCAAATCCTTAGTCATGGACGAATTTCGGATCAGAATCCGGCCTCAGTTCTAGAGGAGTCGGCGGCGGATAAAAGGCAAATGTACCCTTACTTTTTGCTACCAAATGCAGCCGCAAGGAAGAGGTTCAGCGAGGCGCTGTAGTTTAGAGCACCTTTGTTGAACGTCTCACTGCGAATGGGGGCAGAGCCTCTTCAAGGATATCGAACCTGCTTCTGTTGCGATTTGAGCTGCGAAGATGAAGTCATACAGACAAATTAATTTCAGGATAACTCCAATGCTCCCAGGCACCAAGAAATATGCGACAAGTGCGAAAACTTCTTCGAATATTAAAGACGACCCGTCAACGGGTCAAAATTCTCCGGCGAAAAATAGAACAAGGGTATGTTTATAGTACTTAAATGTGGAGATCCACCGATGGCTGCGAGTGCGGTCGCCGTTCCCGATGAAATCGGCCGTTTGGTACCCGTAGTGGACGTTACAGCCTCAGTCGCACTGGGGAGTGTGATTCTGGCCCACCGTTTTAAACCCTTACATCAGTTAAAGGCAGTGATTACAGTAGTTCAAGAAGGGTTCAGAGGAGACGTGGTGGTGCTCAGTGGTACGCCAGTACGAAAAAAGCGGAGAAATCCGTCAAACGCAAAACGGGACCCCTTTTTTGGCCGTTGGTTTTCACTCATGAACAGGTAACAGCTCAGAAAGCGGACGTATGAACGAGTTCAGCGCAACGCGTTTGGTGACAGCATGCCAATCCATAATCGAGTTGCTCCAGTTGTGCCGCTGCTGGCAACGCAGCTCGTCCAAATCACCAACTAAACTAGTGGGCGGATCGCTTTTGGGGGCGGAGTGCTTTCGAAGTCCTGCTCAGCAACCAGCGCACCTTTCGTCGTGAAAGCGCTACACCTCGCTTCCCTGGCAGCCAAGTAACTGCTTCGTGTGGTGCATATGCTTCCCGATGCGCTCCCACTTTATCGTAATCGCTGCCTTTAAATTTTAGGGACGTAATCAAAACCGCATCGCTCTCCAGCCATCGTGACCACAGTTTTTAAAATACGTTTTGATGATTTGTAGAATTCAAGGAGTACTCGAAATGACTAATCGGTGGAATCTGTGTAAAATAATTGGTCCTTTCTCCTAATTTGATAGGAGCTACTCGTAAAGAATCGTCTTCATTATATGCTTGTTGCATAGATTTGTGGCGCTATCACTCTCCTTGGAGTTCTTAAGACCCCCTTACAAGTGCTTGTTGCTCAGCACCTTGTTGTACAAATCTTCCTGCAGTACTCCTTCTGACCTACAGAACCATTTAGTATTTTAAATCACTTGAAATCATTTCCGGGTCTCAGCCTTATGATTTGAAATATCTAGTTTGTGTACTCGCGATCGTGTTGAAGTTCATGCAGCGCGTGTGGCTTACGTAACTGTGAGAAAAATGCAGTAATCAGTTGACAGAAGGTTCCTGACGTCACCAGGAAACCTTCGTGCGAGTTCGAATCACGGCCCACCGCCGCGTCAGCTGAATTCGAATTTATTCTTATAATCCTTCCTCCCCTCCTTCGGGGGTCCCCACATGACGTCCTAGCATCAAACTTGAGAGTGGTGTACACTAATACAGTCCCTCACCACACCATAGCCCTCACTTTACCCATGGCTGATTCTATCACTTCTTGTCTGAGAGGGGTCCACACACCCCATCTCCATCCACTTTTATCCACTGAACTTGCCGTCGAACAGAAGGGGGAAGGGGGTGCCGAGTATGTTTCACCCCTTCCGACAAAGGCGCAAAGAGAAGGAAAAATTGACAACCTTTTGAAATGTATATCATCGGTAGTCAAAGAGTCAGGTAACCCTACACAGAAGGAAAAAGGGAAGCGCAAATACGCGCTAATGAGCATGCCAATATTCAAAAACTTGTCGATAGATCACTGCGTAATCCCCGCTTGTGGTTTCCTCTTGTCCAGGTTGGGAGACGTAGGAACGCACTGAGCGCGGCGATCCAAGTGACTCTACCCATGAGCTCGGAGAGACCACAGCCATTATTCTCCTAGATGCTGAGGATGAGCAACTACTATGCGTGTTTACAATATTATGAGCGAATTTTACGACTTACTTTTTTTGCATTTCAGAGACGCTACACGGAGAAATACGAGATTAAACAATTGTTGCGAGCACTCGTGAACAAAGTGGAGAAAGCGGAGCGAAAGGAGCGGCAGCAGAAGCAGCGACAGTTGAAGGAGAACAATGCGTCGACGAGACGAAGGGCTCTCCTACAGGAGCGAAATCCAATGTTGAGAACGCTGCTCCAGTGGTGGCTTCTGAAGCTGTTGAAAACAAGAACGATTCCAAAGACACGGCCGTCGATGCGCCAGTGGAGGCGGCTGCCAAAGTCGAATCGACGCCAGCACCGACGACGCCGAAGACTTCAGAAGCGCCCGAGGTGACCAACACACCCACCACCGCCACCACAGAAGTCGCCGCTGCGGCTCCAGCCGACGCCAATCAGAACGTCATCAAACTCGTCGAGGAGAAAGTGCTTCAAATTCAGATGTCTTGAACATGGTCGTGGCGAATTGTGTATGCCAAGAATGAGTGCTGCTCTTACCGTATCTGTGATTGAATCGAGCCTTAGTCATTTCAGTTTTCTAGAGCTATCTGCATAACACATGTTTTGTACATACATATTGATTTATCGATTAATTTGTTCTCCGGCTTTATTTAAAAATTTCACACGCTAAATGACACGTTTCTCTGACGAAACCCGTGTGCTAGCCGTATGTGGTGCCAAATAGTTTGTACACGAGTAAAGCGCTTCTCTTGTAATCACCTGATTTTCGATAAATTTTTACTTAATTGCTCATTTTAAATAAAAAATCATAATGATTCAACTGGACAAACCTCGAAAATATGATGGGTAATAGCATTTCGCGACAATGTCAGCCGTCGATGACTGACACGAAGATGTTCATTCGGACAGTGGCAGCCACCGGTGGCTGACGGGCTTCAAATGAAATTTAGAGAGGAACTATCTTATGTAATGTTTTTCTGAT